TTCAGAGGTAGCATTCCCAGAATCATGTGGTACATTCCAGCATCTGCTCTTACGTTCATGGCCGTTGAATTCCTCAGAGACCATTTTAACGAAGCATCAAACAACGATAAAGTGCATGAAGTCGCAAGCATATCAATCGACAAAAAGGAATCTTCTTTCCAAGAGGTGTCTTAAAAACTTATACTGAATTACACGACTTTTCTTCACCATCCAGTTAATTTTAGTGAGATAGAGCTCTGTACCGTATTAGAATTCAAGATCAATAGGTTACCATATTGGATCAATTGTATTCTTTTGATGAAAGCCTCAGGAACATGGAAATGACATTGAGAATTTGTCCGAGTTAGGATTGAATTTTTTTTTTTTAATATGCTTTGTATTACAATTACAGGAACAATGATGAAATGTTGTCCAATCTTGATTTTTGTTTCTTGCAGCTGTGGTTCTTATTGTGTGATTCGCAACTTTTTTGTTTTCATGTCAAGAAATGGTTAAATGGTGTTTTTGGGTGATGCTATTTTTGTGATTTAACCTTTCCTGGACAAATTTAGGCTGTGGTATGGAGTTTTATGATTCCACAATGTATAAGGTAGCGTTTGGTAGAATTTTATAAATATAATTTAAAAATAGAATTGTATTTTGAGTTTGTAAGTTTTGAAATTATGATTTGAGTGTAGAAAATTTGTTTGGTTATGAGTTTTGAATTAAATTTGAAATTTTTGATGTGACATGATATTTGATTTAAAAATTTACAACTTATAACTAAACACATAATTCAAAAAAATTTAAAAAACTCATTAAAAACTTAAAAAAATTTGAAAAATAGTTTTTATTTAAAATATAAAAAAAATAATTGGTGCCAATTGTTAAAAAAAAACAAAAAAAAAAAACCCTATTCCGGTCAACCGGCCAGACGTCTGGGTAAACTAAATTTCAAAATTTAAATTCCGCCTGAAAAGTGTTTTCAAAAGGGGAGTGAAAATGTATTTTGAAAACTTTATCCAAACACAGCTCAAAATACATTGTAAAATTGTAATTAAAACTCCACACCAAACAAGATTTTTTTTGGGTAGGTCTAGTTTACACTAACAAGATCTTTTACAAGCATTTTAAAGGTTGGTGGTCGAGAAGAGAAGATGGCGGTAAGTGTAGGTGTGTAGGTTAGGATTTAGAAGATTAATAAGACGAGGAGAATTTTAATATTATAGATGTAATAAACAAATAAGAAAAATTTAGAGACAAAAATTCTTAGATCATAAAATGCATAAGAACATAAAGATAAAAATTTAATCATTTGCTCAGCATTTAGTTTAATTTTTTAAAAGAAAACAAAATTTTGTTTATCATGCTATTATTCTCTTTATTTATTTTATTTTATTTTTTATTTGTGTCTCAATGACAATGCCAAGCACTTTAAAAATGATATAACAGACGTATAAAGTACTCCAAATCAAAACTATTTTCCTATTGAATGGTTAACTAGCAAAATTTCCAGAAATTTCAGAAAAATGTGCCTTATGAGGTTGATTCCAACAATCTCATACAAACACAATCATTCAACATACAAATATTTAATTTAACTGAGCATATAATTCTTGACAATAAAATGGCAAAAAAAAAATTTTTTTTTAAATTAAAATTAAAAAATCATGTGGACTCCATTTCATCAGGACACAAGATATGGTTTAGTTTGATTTGGTTTGTTTTCACATAACCATAATAACAGAAAAAGACTTTCAAAAATTTTGGAGATTGATTTCAGTCTCAAAGTTACTGTTGTTTCAGTTTAGTGTGGACTGTCATGCACACAAACACATCACAAATAGTCATCAGCCACTGACTAATGGGAACAAGGCAGCATTCAGGAAAAATACCTAAGAGCAAAGTAACAAGTATGATCTAACAAGACTAGCACTAGACTCAAAACTAGGGCTCCACTGTACATCAAATGACTAATCCTTTCTGTTAACCTCTACATGGTTGCAATTGAGCTTCTCAAATTCTTACTTTGGAACTTCGGTTTTGACTTTCACAAAGAAACGTTGAAGATAACCGCTATTGTCTTCTGGGGGGTACCTTGTCCTTGAATTGGGAGCATAAAGGACTCTTAGAGCAATCTTCTTTAGATATTGGTGTAGGCATGAATTCATTCTTCTCCGTTTTGACACATCTTTCATTATCATGTCCTACAACTTTTTCTGCAACGTCAAATGCATTTCTCTTTACAGAAAGCGGGCAGGTATAGGCAGCCATGGAATCTGTTGCTAGGGTACGAGCAGGAGCTTGTTGAAAGCACTCGTCATCTTCATATTGTTTCTGTTTTTGTCCAAAAAGGGTTTTTGAAAATTGAAAACATCTTTTTGTTGTTATCTTCACCAAACTAGGTTTTAGTATTTTTAAGAATACTGATTCTGAAAACCAAAAATCAAACAAAGAGGTAACATATGGTGCATAGTTTAATGATTTTCAATACCTGCCGATGCTTCCCCTGAAGTCTGGGTGAATCTGAATCTTCAATAGGCTTCGGTTGCAATCTACATGCACTACCCTTTGCTGGGCTGATAACTCTCCCATCAAGCCTGAGCTGTTTTTCCACCGGAACTGTAGCTTCCTTATGTGCATAATTTTGAACTTTCAGCTTATAAATCCCCTCGAAACCTGGAGGAATGTCGTTGCACAATTCCTTTTTAACTTCTGGCGAGGGCTGTTGAATTGCAGAATCCACCTCTCTCGAAACAGAATGAATCTCCGTATTTGAACCAGGCACGGAGATTATAGTAGCATTTTCTTCCCCGGAGGTTCCACAACTCCTCCTGGATGATTCTCTTGAATTTGCTATATCAACTCTTCCAACATCTTTTCCAGCAAGCATGTCAATGTCCATGTCAACTACACCGTCATCCCCATTAGCATTGCCGGTGTCTTGTGCACAATCTGAAGAAGGATGTTCCTCATTAAGCTTGCATACATCTTTATGCTTTTTGACACGACGAAAGACTCCCCAGAGAAAGTATTCCCCATTCCATCCTGTTATATATAGCATTGACATGGACAAAACTGTCAATCATCAAAATTCAAGCACAAGCCTAATGATGATGTAGCTCAATAAAGAAAAAGACACCCCTCGAAAAAGTTCACAGATGTATTCAGCAATTTTCTTTAAACATCAAGGAAAAATGGACATACAGACTCGAGAGTTTACTTTGAGATTTGGACGAGAGAAGTTTGGATGTAAACACAAACAACTCTACACCATCCATGTAACATCTCATCACCAATTCTTGTGTCTCCATGAACTCCAGGAGGAAGATATAATTTGCAGATCTACAATCCAACAGAAACAGAGTTTTCAGAGTCTTAAAGACGAAATTCTCCACAACCCAAGACAGGTATTAGAACAGACCTCTGACTGTTGTTGGAGAAGAAGTACATTCCAATATCATCCTCGTTTGGACAGTCATCCTGAAATATCTCTGTCCAAATACTGTCACGGGGAAGCATTTTAAATTGAAGAACTTCGGGCAATTTTTTTGAGAACTCGTAGATTTTGCGACGAACTTTTGACGGAGGATGAGCCCGGAACCCATCATTGAGTTCCTTATTATTACTAGTAACAATTTCAAAGCTTCCCCTAGACAATACAAACAACAAGATCGTTAGGCAGGCAATGCTTGTGTCTTTTCTGATTTCAAAGAATGGAAACTAGCTGCAGTATTACGTACCACAATAAGCATTATTTGTCAAACAAGAACGAATTTAATTTAAAAAAAAAGAAACTATAATATGATTGTTATAGAAAAGTTACTTGTTCTCATACATAATAAGAGATCAACTGGCAAGTTTGATAGTAAATGATTTAAGTCAAAGGAGTTCTACAGGTCAATCATAATTTGGAATTACAAAGATAATATTCCTCATAAAAGCATTTCTTTGAACAATGAAAGCAGGAAACCAAAGACAAATTCCACCAACATAGCAAATAGAAACTTAATAATATAATTAAATGCAATTCCATGAGAAAGAAAATTTCATTTTAATCCATTATTTCAGAAGGCAAAAATAAGGACTTGAACCCAGCTAAAAGCCCTTTGTGGCAGGAAATGCTCAACCTAAGAGTTGGTGGTAGCTAATGATAGATAATTTAAAGAAAACCGTTACATGCAAAAAACAAGAGAGTTAATTTCCATCAATATTAAATTTCCAAGAGAACAAGATCCTTCAGAGTATAAACAAACCTATATCACAGCATACACTCCAATAAATAGAAAGCAACAGAATTCCAATCAGAGAAAATGCAACCAGAATAGAGACTTAACATAATAACAAAAAATATAATGGAAACATTAGTAATTAGTAAACAATTAACATTTTTAACCAGTTTGTAAGGCCGGCAGTTCATGTAATTTAAGGCATTAGCAAGATGCCTTCTAAACGACAGTCCAATGATAAAGAGAAATATAGATTCCATATATTTTAAAAAATAACATATATTTCCTAACAAAACCTTCAGTTTGAAACGCCAGCATGATGCAGCTAAACTTGTCCAATTGATATTCGCCATATTATAACACGTTCTTGGCAAATTTAGAGAAAAGTTTCTCAAGGGGTTTGTTTCCACCACTTTCATCTTGCATGAAGAGTAGATGTGTCACAGTCATTACCATTTAACACAATTGCATTATGTAATTTTCCCAACAAAGAACATCCATCGCAGTAAAATATTTTTAAATATTTTTCCATTTTAAATAGCCTGCATAGTAAATGAAGAACAATAGAACACCACAAAAAAGAATACTTTTTGAGTATTGAATTTTGTCATCCTTGTTGGATGAACAGTGTTAACAAATATTTTGAACAAACAGAGATATATGGGATTGATGAATGGATATATATATATACTCACTTCCAATAAGAATGTAGAGCAGGAACTTGAAAGCATTTCTCAGCTTCAGGCAGAATATCTGTCAAGTCATGATTCTCAGCATCAAAATTTCTGGACTCCACATTCGCACAATCATTACCACCTAAAAGAAAAGATGTTCACCGTTTAATTCAAGTAATTTGATAATCAAATGACAAGTCATCAACCCACAGTCAGAACTGACCAAATTTTGTATACCATGTGAGAAGAGAATATTCAGCAGGGGAGAAGGAGGCCAACATGGGTGGGTTCAGGTACAGTTTGATAAAACCGACCTTGGTGGTTCAACCCAAGGCACATATAAAATTTTGAGTTTTTTTGATTTTGGTCAGGTCTATTTTCCTTAAAAATCTAAGAAGATTAACTAGCAGCACAATTTGTCAACTTGACCCATAAAGTTGCAGGCTCGAGAATTTGATAGAGCATGGGTGCTCTTTATATAATAGAGCGGACAAATCCTATTACAGCATAAATAAGGTGGACAGGAGAAAAATATTTGGTGTATGCCTAATTGGAGATCCATCACTCACCTCATTGGACTTAACAGAAAAGGCCAGTCACATTGCACATGGCTCCCACCACTGCAGTGTCTGGGAGTAAGGAACGTTACCCCCGCTAGGGCTGCCAACGAGCCAAGTAATAGGTTGTTCAAGCTTGGCTTGCAAATTTAACAAGGTTCAAAACATGTTCAAACCTGACTTGTTTACATAACAAGCCAATTTTGAATGAGGTATTGAGTTGAACATGAATTGCACTTGAGTAGCTTCGTTTTTATAGTGCATATATGCATATCGAGCCAAGTAGTGAGTTGTTTAAGCTTGGCTTGTTAACATAACGAGCCAATCTCGAACAAGCTTTTAACGAGTCAAGTTCAAGTAGCTTGGTTCGTTTTGCCGCCATAACCCCCACGTGCGGAGAGGCTGTTTCCATGGTTTGAACCTATGACACTCACGCCACAATGGAACAACCTTACATCTGTGCCAAGGCCTGCCTTCATTGGACTCAACAATTTGACCATGTTTTTTGTATCTCCAATGATACTCCAAAATACAAATATTACCCACCAAACATAAAAGACAAATGTTGACTCAAGTTGACCAAATAGAATTTATTTGGACACTTGATACAACAAGAAACAACTCATGTGAACATACATGATTAGACATATATACAGATAATACAACATTATTCATATTACAAGTTCATAAAAAAGTCACTGAATTGGTATTGAACTTTGGTATTCAAGATTTCAGTTCATTTTTCATTAAAAAATTGCAAAAACACAACCAATTATAGTTTACCAAGATCAAATTTGGCACAAGTTATGTTCACTAAATATTGAACAACTGACAATCCAAATCCTAGAATAAAGCCTCCAATGTGCATTGAGAAATACAAGATCTAAATATTCTAGAATACTATGCAAATGCCAGATCATCATTCCTCATTCCTATTAACATTACTGAGTGATAAATTTTATCATCACTAATTGGGACAAAGACTTGTTATGTAAGAAATTTTATGCAAAAAATCTGTAGAGATTTTTCACCTTTAGGACCTTCTTGCTGAACCACAGAATTGATCTGCATTTTGCCATGTCTGGAAGGTAAAAGTCCCGAAGGCCTGAAACTAGGATTTGCTTTGACAACCACAGGGGACTTTGGAGGTGTAGCTCTGGGCTTGATGGGAGTCCTCGAGGACACAAGTCCCAGAGTTACTGCTGGCCCAGAACTTGAGTGAACATTAATCTTGGAAGGGGAGTGAAATTTCTTGGCTCCCGAAGACAGCAAGATTGCTTCTTCAGCAGCAATATATTTCACTTTCCCCGTTTTAACAATCTTTTCCCATTTGGGAAGTTTGCTACAATCAGCTGAACCCTTATTTTCCTTGTCCACCGTACCCGAGGGTTTTGTCTTAGATGAGTCATCCTTCAAAGATTTTGGTGAAATCTTACCTTCCATTTCGCATGTTTCGCAAAGCCACTGATTTGGGATATCGTCGTTGAAGCTTTTCCTGCAGTAACTGAAAAGGCAGAGGGATGGCAACATATTCAAATGAAGATAACAATACAATGTAACTATCATGTACAACAGGTCCAATCAGAAATAGGCACCAAATGAACTATATGCAAGCAACATTAGAACTTGAAACTAAGTGCATATATGTCTTCATTGATGCGCTGATGTGCTAAGCAACTTTAGAAATCAGGATAATTAAAACCAAGGAGATGGCCACATGCCCAAAACCTATCAATTACGGACACCTCTTTGGAGGTAACGTACCGGTGTCCGACACATGTCGAACACGCTGGGACACTTGGAACAAGCCGCGGACATGCTAGAGACACACAACCATTTTTTTAATTTTTTTTAACTAAAATAACATACCTAAGGTTGATAAATTTAGCAAAATTAAATATTAAATATTTAAATATATAACATATAATAGCTATATAAAATTATATGTTCAACGTGTCATGTACTGCATTTTTTAAAAATTTATATGTCTGTGTGTCCATGTCGTATCACATGTTCATGCTTCTTAGCCCAAAACTAGAAACACCACACACACACACACACACACACACATAGTGAGACAGAGATTTTACACATGCTCACGAGCTGTTTTGCATTGAGAGCACACACTGATTGCATCTATAACACCAACATCACCACATATGCCACAAGGTTCTTCCTGCACAGAGGGAGAGATGATATAAGAAATGTTAAAAATGATTCTCTCTTTACAAAACATTGCAACTTATTGAAGTTAAAGAAGCTGTTGGTTGATCACATTCTGGCATTGAATGGGTCAGTTGAAAGCAGTTAAAAGGCATCTTGAGAGCAGGCAATCTAAACCATTTCAGTCCAAACAGAGTAAGTGAAGATTAATCTCTGTTAAAAGTCAGTTGACATAAAAGATAACTGGTTGAAAATTGAATGAACAATTAAAGAGTTGTGTTCTAAGAATTAGGATTTGTACTCATAAAACAATCAGCATACAAGCTACAAGTCTAGGTCAAAAAAATAACATAAAATAAAATAAAATAAAAAATACAAGCTACAAGTCTTGCAATAAAAAGTTGCACATAGATGCTGAGGAAAATGAGACACAATAATAAAGGAAAGGAAATTTATAAATTTCAAAAGTATAACAAACAAAAACCTAATCAGCTAACTTCGTTTACCCATAACCACCATGTCTTGCAATAAAACTAGAAGTAACACTATGTTTGGGAAATTAGGTGGGAAAAGAAAATAAATGATTTTATAATTTATGAGAGAAAAAAAAAGGAGAAGAAGATAAAAGATTAAAAAATAGGAGAGGAAAAAAAGAAGAAAATATAATGATATCTTTTCCTATTTTGTTTGGTTAAACTACATAAAAGACATGAAAATAAATAATTAGATGTTATAACATTTTATAATTGTTAATTTTTATTTTTTTATTTTATTTCTTCTATATCTAAAGGGCGGTTTTGGTATTATAAAAAAATAATAATTAGTTGGTTTCTCTTCTTTCATAATTTTTCACTTTTGGAGAGATTTAAAATGAGGGTGATGAGATAAATGAGTTTCTCTCAATTTTTTTCTCATTCCATCCCATTTCTCTCCTCTTCACTTATCCAAACAAGTGATTAATGTAAACAAGTGATATGAACCAGGAGAAATGCATTTTTCTTCTTTTTTCCACCCCAAATCACATAATCCGAACGGGCTTTTAAGAGATAAAATGAGGAAAAAACACAAATCTACATAATAATGAAGGTACAAAAATTAAGAAATAAACTAAATAAGCAAACCCCAATTTACAAACTACTACATTAGCAAGAATGCCTAGATACCAAAAAGGCAGATAAGCAAGCAAACCCCTCATTTCCCTTCTTTTTTTTTTTTGGTACATGATGTTAAGATTTAAGCTTTAAGGTTTATTTTAATAAATACTGTTATCTACAGCTAGGAGATTGGTATTATCTAGTCTATTGGAGAATCCCTAGTTTGTAGGAGTCATGGTTGGTGTGTATAACCAAGTCATGTCATCAAGGGTTTAGTTCCACAAAATCTGCTAAGTGACATTGTGGTTGTTTGCAGATGTAGCTTTGCTGCTCTTATTTAAGTTGTATTCCTTCATTCAATTCAATTCAATAAAATTAGCTTGAAGCTTTTAGCCATGTTGTTATTGTTTTAACACTTCAGCATTTATTCATAGAATCAGTTTTTTTCCAACATCTAGTACCACAGCCACCACTGGCCTGATAAAAAAAAAAAAAATCCCAAACAAGCAGTAGCTTTTGCCTCTTGCAGCAGCAAGCATTCATGGCGACTGACAAATCAGCAGAGAATTTTGTCAAGCCAGCCATACCTCGCTTTGATGGTCACTATGATCATTGGAGCATGTTGATGAAAAATTTCCTATGGTCCAAAGAGTATTGGGATCTTGTGGAAACGGGATTTGTTGAGCCAGAAGGAGCAGTACTGACACAACCACAACAAAAGAAACTTGATGATCAGAAGCTAAAAGATATGAAGGTGAAGAACTACATGTTTCAGGCTATCGATCGTGCAATTTTGGAGACCATTCTCCAAAAGGATACATCCAAAAACATTTGGGACTCCATGAAGAAAAAGTAATAGGGCTCAGCAAGAGTGAAGCGAGCACACCTTCAAGCCATAAGAAGAGATTTCGAGACTCTTCAAATGAAAAATGGAGAATTAGTTACTGATTATTTTGGAAGAGTTATGGGGATAGCAAACAAAATGCGAAGCCGTGGTGATAAGATTAAAGATGGTGATGTTGTTGAGAAGATCTTGAGATCTATGGCTCCAAAATTCGATTATATTGTGTGCTCTATTGAAGAGTCTAATGACATTGATGAAATGTCAATTGATGAGCTGCAAAGCTCCTTACTAGTCCATGAACAGAGGCTGAATCGATGCACCTCAGAAGAGCAAGCTTTGAAAGCTTCTACCTTTGCTGAATCCACAAGCACAAGAAGAAGAGGACGAGGTAGAGGTAGAGGTAGAGGACGTGGAAGCAGTGCTTGAGGCAACCGAGATGGAAGCAGACAACGCAAGTATTTCAGAAGAGATGATGATCACTTCCAGTTTCAGAATAAAAGAAGAGGACAGGTGGACAAGTCCAAGATTGAGTGCTATAGGTGTGGAAATCATGGGCATTACAGCAATGAGTGCTGCACAAAGATGCCAAAAGACAGGAAAAGAAGAGAAGTCAAACTTTGTTGAGAAAAGGGAAGAAGAAACACTTTTGATGGCCTTTCATGCCAAGGACGACCCTGAGCTTGATGTATGGTATGTCGACACAGGTTGCAGCAATCATATGAGTGCTAGTAAGTTTTCTTTCTCATCTTTAAATGAAGACTTTCAAACTACTGTAAGTTTTGGTGATTGTTCTAATGTAAATGTGATAAGAAAGGGAGATATTCAGATTAGAACTAAGAATGATTTTGTTGAAACAATTTAGAATGTTTCTTATGTTCCTAATCTGAAAACTAATCTGTTGAGTGCTGGCCAATTGCAAGATGAGGGTTATATTATAACAATTCAAAAAGGTGCATGTGAGATATATGATCCAGCAAGGGGTGCTATTGTTGTTGTTCAGATGACACCAAGCAGATTGTTTCCGCTGAAAATCAAGACTGTTTAGGCTTGCTTGTTGGCTAAGGAGAATGATCCATCATGGCTTTGGCAGTTTCGTTATGGCCATTTGAACTTTAATGGGCTGAAAACACTTCATCAGAAGCAGATGGTGATAGGCCTCCCTATGATCACTCCTCCATCCAAAGTTTGTGAAAAGTGTGTTGTTGGCAAGCAACAAAAACGCTGGAGTTGGCCCATTCCGATATTTGTGGACCCATAAATCTGACGTCTAATGGTAATAAGAGGTATTTTATTACATTCATTGATGATTATAGTCGGAAAACATGGGTAGCAAAAATCTGAAACTTTTCCAGCATTTAAAAGTTACAAGGCCTTGGTTGAGAAAGATATTGGGAGAGTTATTCAAACTCTTTGAATTGATTGTGGTGAAGAATACAACTCACGAGAATTTGCAGATCTTTGTGAGGAACATGGAATCAAAAGGCAGCTGACTGCAGCCTATACACCACAACAAAATGGTGTGTCTGAGAGGAAAAATCGTAAAATCTTAAACATGGTGCGAAGTATGTTGGCAAGGAGAAGCGTTCCAAGGAGTTTTTGGCCTGAAGCAGTCAATTGGGGCGTTCACTTACTGAATAGAAGTCCCACACTAGCTGTCCGAAACATGACATTTGAAGAAGCATGGGCTGGGTGCAGACCATTCGTTGATCATTTCAGAATTTTCGGATGTATAGCATATGCTCACATTCCGGATGAAAAAAGGAAGAAGCTCGATGACAATGGTGAAAAATGGTGTTAGTGAACATTCAAAGGCCTACAAGTTGTATAATCCCATCACCAAGAAGATTGTTATCAGCCGGGATGTGGTTTTTGATGAAGAAAAGATGTGGGATTGGACTGGAAAAGGCAAGGAACTGAAGCAAATTCCAGTTAATTTGATGATGCAAAGAATAGGATTGAAATGCAGCAGCAGTCCTTTAATGAACACTTGCCCAGTTCTTCAGCGACTACACCAACAAATGAGTAGCCACCTCCAACAAATGAGCAGCCACCTGAGAATCAACGTCCAAGGAAAAGACCAGCTTGGATGATTGACTATGTAAGTGGGGATGAACTCTCAGATGATGATATTACTGCTCACTTTACATTGTTTGCAGATTTTGATCCTATCACATTTGAGGAAGCAATCAAGGACGCTAAATGGCAGAAGGCAATGAATGTTGAGATCAAATACATAGAGAAAAATAATACATGGGTGCTGATTGACTTGCCAAAAGGACAGAAAACAATTGGTGTGAAATGGGTTTTTAAAACCAAGTTGAATGAGAAGGGGGAGACAGACAAGCACAAGGCTCGTCTGGTGGCAAAGGGATACAAGCAAGAATATGGTGTTTGATTACAAAGACGTGTTTGCTCCAGTTGCAAGGCTAGACACAATTCGTTTGGTAATCTCTTTAGCTGCTCAAAACTCTTGGCCTATTTTTCAATTAGATGTAAAGTCTGCATTTTTACATGGTAAATTGGAAGAACAAGTACATGTAGATCAACCTCCAGGCTACGTGCAGCAAGGCAATGAAGAGAAGGTGTATAGGTTGAATAAGGTACTCTATGGGTTGAAGCAAGCACCACGAGCTTGGTACAGCCGCATAGATGCTTACTTTGTCAAGCATGGCTTCCAAAAGTGCCCATATGAACACACATTGTATGTTAAGGTTGATGATGAAGGTAAAATGCTCATCATGTGTTTATATGTTGATGATCTAATTTACATAGGAAGTGGAGTTGATATGTATGATAATTTTAAAAGGTCTATGATGAATGAGTTTGATATGACTGATTTAGGACTGATGCACTACTTTCTTGGCATAGAAGTAGTAAAATCAGAGGCTGGTAATTTTGTTTCTCAAAAGAAATATGTCCAGGAAGTTTTGGAGGGGTTTCAAATGCTGAAATGCAATCCAGTTGGAACACCGACTGAAATAGGACTAAAGTTGACTAGAGATACTGATGGAGAAAGAATTGATAACACATTTTTCAAGCAAATTGTTGGAAGTTTGATGTATCTAACTTCAACAAGGCTTGACATCATGCATGCTGTTAGCTTAATTAGTCGCTATATGGAGAATCCCACTGAGATGCATCTCAAGGCAGCAAAAAGAATATTTCGATACTTGCACATCTGATTTTGGAATTCTTTACAAAAGGGGTGAAAAACAAAGTTTCTTTGGTTTTACTGACAGTGATTATGCAGGTGATATTGATGATCGAAAGAGCACTTCTGGTAATGAGTTCTTGATGAGCTCAGGTTCTATTTCATGGTCATCAAAGAAGCAGCAAATTGTGACACTTTCGACAACTGAAGCAGAGTTTGTAGCTGCTGCTTCATGTTCCTGTCAAGCTATCTGGCTGAGAAAAATGCTTGAAGTCCTTGGTCATCAGCAGCAAGGCCCAACAACAATATCTTGTGATAATGTTTCTGCCATTAAGCTTTCCAGAAATCCAGTTATGCATGGGAGAAGCAAGCATATAGATGTTCGTTATCATTTTTTGCGTGATCTTTGCAAAGATGGTGTGATTGAGTTAGAGTTTTGCAAAAGTGGAGATCAAGCAGCTGATATCTTGACCAAACCTCTCAAACAACCAGTGTTCGAGAAGCTCAGAAGCATACTTGGAGTTTGTTCATCAGCAGAAGCTGGTTGCATTGTTGCTGATACACAAAAAAATGAGTTGCTGAAATAATGTTTGAATTCTAAACTGTTTTCTGCAGAAATCAGTATAAGGGAGGGTGTTGAGATTTAAGCTTTAAGTTTTTATTTTAATAAATACTGTTATCTATAGCTAGGAGATTGGTATTACCTAGTCTATTGGAGAATCCCTAGTTTGTAGGAGTCATGGTTGATGTGTATAACCAATTCATGTAATCAAGGGTTTAGTTCCACAAAATCTGCTAAGTGACATTGTGGTTGTTTGCAGATGTAGCTTTGCTGCTCTTATTTAAGTTGTATTCTTTCATTCAATTCAATTCAATAAAATTAGCTTGAAGCTTTTAGCCATATTGTTATTGTTTTAACACTTTAGCAATTATTCATAGAATCAGTTTTTTCCAAAACATAAACCCCTCATTTCAAACCATAAAAGAGATTTCAAGCGAAAAGAAAACAATAAAGCAACCAAAATTATAATAAGAAATCGCACATACCAACAAAGAAATTTATCAATCTCAACAGTGAAGTATTAATATATATATATATACACAAAAAAACACAAGTATACACAGCGAACAATAAATTATAAATATGGTGGTTTTTAACAGTCCAATGGGTCCAACACAAAAGAAAATAAGAGTTTTTTAGGGTTTTACCATGTGGGTTTGAGTTGAATCTGGTATCTTTTGTCAGAAATGTAGTGTTTTGTACCCTCGAGAGTGAGGTAAAAAGTTAGCGAGAGCTCCAATAAAGCTTTGTGATGCCACAAGACGAAGAAGGAAGGCCTACCCACTGCTTCTCTACCACTCCTCGTCAATACCCATCACCAATCTAGGCTTGTTTGCCAAGAAAAGTAGGATTTTTCCCGAGAAAATGTGAGTTTGGCGAACTTAATGCGGCACCATTTTGCTGTTTTTTTTTGCTTTTGTGTTTTGGACAAATTACAAATACGGTGGAGATTTGGTAAAAATACAGATTCTCTCTTGAAGTTGAAGAAATTACATCTTACCCCTAAAATTTATATTTTTATAATAAATTGTCTCTTGAGGTTTTTATTTTCATACAAATTTTTCCTAATTTTTTTAATTTGTTATGAAAATTTAACCCTCAGAAAATAATTTATAATTTCTCAAACTTCAAGAGAAAATCTATATTTTTACTAAAGCGTTTATAATTTGCCCTTGTTTTTTTCCTCTCCAATGAAAAATATAATAATAATATATAAGTGACGTGATTTATTAAATCATTTATGTTTAATTTAATAATATTAGTCCTATCGTGCTGAAAAAATGTAATTGAAATAAATATATAATGATTTTATATAATGTTAAATTATAATAATGTAAAATAAATACTTAGGTATTTTTATATTTTTTTTTTCATACATATACTATTGGGCCATATTAATCAACATCTCGAGGTATTTTGAGAAGCAAAAAAAAATCAACTTTTAATTTTTTATCCATTTTGTGTCACATCACATCTCACATTGTTTACCCTCAAAAAGACAAAATAGACTAAAAAACTAAAAAATTAACTTTTTATCAACTTCTCAAAATATCACCTCCTCTTTATTTTTCTAATTACTTTCTCTACTTTTTCACATATTTTTTTATAGAAAGTCAAAAAATACACTTATGTAGAACATTCCAAACTAGTTAACTTGGAAAGATAAATAGTAGCATTCAAAGTGATTCTAATTATTTATTTATTTTTATTTAGTTGGAAATTTAAAAGAAAAAATAGGAATTATTTTTTAAAAAAAAATTAAATATAAATATGTTGTGGTTAGATTAATAAAAAATAGATAGATTAATTAGGTTGAGTATTAATTTTTCTTTAATATTTATTTTTAAATTGTTTATATATTTTATACAATTATATATATGTATATAATTTTAAATATATGTATATAATTTTAAATTAAATGTAGTCGGAGTGCCCCCAGGTGGACGAACCACCGCTGGAATCTCTTCTTTCTGTTGCAGGTCAATCAGACGCTATCTATTCTGTCAATGCTCTCCAGCTGAATACTAAGTTGGCAGTGTAGTTAGAAATTCACTCACACAATTATATTAAATTTTATTTATGGGTAGCTCAAATTAAGTATAAAATTTTTAAATATTAGATTTTAGAAATAATTAAATATAAGGGTATGTTATGTGACAAATTTTTTTTTAAAAAAAAAAAAAAAGAACAAAAGAGAGACATCAATAAGATAGGCAAAAAATAAAGGGGTATTTTTTTTAAGGTCCCTGATATTATGATTTTATAGTAGAAAGGACATCAAATATTTTCATGATGTCTAAGATCCCTCAACATCAATCTAGAGAAATTTCAGTCCCAGAGAAAATTGGTCCAGAGAAATTCTGGGAAGATCTCTGGACCAACCCAGAGAAAATTTAGTTCAAAAACCAGAGAATTTCTCTGGTTTTAACCCAGAGAAAATTCAGTTAAAAACCAGAGAAATTTGAAAAATCCAGAGAATGAGGTTCAAAGCAAATTCAACACATCCAACTCTACAAAGCCCATGAATGTACGTGTTGTATGTTACAATAGTTGGGCTTTCCTAACTCTCCTCAATTTCTTCTAGAATTCCAGTAGCTTGTCTAATATCTACTGCATGATGTCCTTTGCAGTAAAAGTTCATCATAATGGTATAGGTGCGTACATTAGGCAATGGTCCAGACTTCTTTATTTCTTCAAATAAACTTGCAAGATATTCCACTCTATTTGCTTCTGCCAAACATTTAAGCAAGAAATTGCATGAAAATATACTAGGGTTTAACCCAATTTTCTTAGCCTGCAGAAACACATCAACTGCATTTTCAAGCATTAAAATTTGCTGGCATTTGTTCTTGGAAGGGTTTTACCATGTGGGTTTGAGTTGAATCTGGTATCTTTTGTCAGAAATGTGTGTTTTGTACCCTCGAGAGTGAGGTAAAAAGTTAGCGAGAGCTCCAATAAAGCTTTGTGATGCCACAAGACGAAGAAGGAAGGCCTACCCACTGCTTCTCTACCACTCCTCGTCAACACCCATCACCAATCTAGGCTTGTTTGCCAAGAAAAGTAGGATTTTTCCCGAGAAAATGTGAGTTTGGCGAACTTAATGCGGCACCATTTTGCTGTTTTTTTTTGCTTTTGTGTTTTGGACAAATTACAAACACGGTCGAGATTGGATAAAAATACAGATTCTTTATTGAAGTTGAAGAAATTACATCTTACCCCTAAAATTTATATTTTTATAATAAATTGTCTTTTGAGATTTTTATTTTTATACAAATTTTTCTTAATTTTTTCTAATTTGTTATGAAAATTTAACCCTCAAAAAATAATTTATAATTTCTCAAAACTTCAGGAGAAAATCTATATTTTTACTAAAACTCCTCGGTCTCTACTCTAGCCCCCACTGAGACTCTTGTTTCTTCTTCAACAAGCTTCACACGTGATTGAAGAAGGGGAAGGGGGCTGAATTTCTCTGTGATAGATGGGAGGGACTTTAGACATCAAAAAATAATTTTGTGGATCTCTTCCATTATGAAAAGTGGGAGAGGGACCCTAGACCAATTTTTCCAAAAATAAAATATAAAAAAATATAATTTAATCTGTGCGATACACATAATTAAGCACATTCCGTCTTATTTATTTATTTGTAAATTGAGATAATTTTTTTCAAATATCATAATAATTAAATTATAATTATATATATGAAAAATAAGTATTTCTCAAATAAAATCTATATAAAATTGGTTATTATGATTGAAATTGAGTTTGTGTAGAACTTTATACGTAAATAAAAAAAGGCATGCTAATGTAGATTTTTTAGAAAAAAATAAATCTTTAGAATGTGCCACCTTAGCAAGAAAAAAACACTACTTACATATATATATATATATATAATATGTCATGCGCTTTATACATTATTTGATTGTATAAATCCGTAACAGAATCCTAACTAAAAATGTTAATGGTAACAATATAATACTTTGAAACGATTAACTATTGAGTTTTAAAGTTGAAGGGGATAAAATGCAAATAGTCATAATTTAATTGTTAAGTTTTAAAATTTAGGAAGACTTATTTATAAGTCATTTTTTAGACACTTATGGTAGACTAAGTCCTGTGTAATTTCTTATAGAGTCTCAAGTCCTATTTAGGTAGGAATGCATTCCACAAAATCCTACATAAACGTAACGTGGCGTGACACTTATATAAATGTAACGTAACGTGACACCTACATAAACGTAACGTGACACCTACATAACGTAACGTAACGTGTCACGTTACGTTTCGCAAACTTAATGAGTTTTTATTTTTTTAAATTGAATGTGAAAATGTTGCTGGTTTATGTTGGTGTCACGTTACGTTTCATATAAATATGATCTATGGCAACATTCAATTTGAATGTTGCCATAGATCATAGGTGTCACGTTTTTCCTATGTAGGAAATTGAATGTTGCCATAGATCATAGGTGTCACGTTACGTTTATGTAGGTGCCACGTTATGTTATGTTATGTTTATATAAATATGATCTATGATAACATACAATTTCCTATATATAGGAAATTGCATATTATCATAGATCATAGGTGTCACGTTACGTTTATGTAGGTGTCACGTTACGTATAGGTGTCACGTTACGTTTATGTAGATGCCATGTTACGTTACGTTTAAATAGATATGATCTATGGTAACATTCAATTTCCTATATATAGTTTTACTATTATTTATGATATTAACAACTAATATTGAGGATAAATGTGTCAACAAAATTTCCCACAGAATTTATGGAAACATAAATTTTTTAGTAGGACCATATGTAGCATAAGTCTCCCTAATAAGACTTATAAATAATTTTTCCTAAAATTTAAAGGGATAAAATGTAAACGTAATTTAAAGGGATTTAATCTAATTTAGAGAACACACACACATATACACACACACACACACACACACACATATATATATATATATATATTATTTCAAACAAATATAGTACATAAATGTGTGCTTATTATATTTAATTTATTTAATTATTTTTATTTTATTGCATCCAGTGATAAAATTAAGTGGAACATTATTCAAACTATTTGTGACTTTGAGAAAACAACAAAACAAACCACATATCAAAAAAAAAAAAAAAAAAAAAAAAAAAAAAAAAAAAAAAAAAAAGGAAGAAAAATAGCAAAACGGTACCGCATTAAGCGCGTAGCAGCATCTCCTTATTTCTTGGTTAAGTATTTTTAGAAAAATTTTGAGGGAAAAAACTCCTTTATATAATATATATATATATATATATTTTAGAAATAGAAAAAATAGACCATATATCAAAAGAAAAATATAGTACAAGAACAATAAAAGAAAAAAAAACTATTACAAACTACAAAAAAAATATTTCAAAAAATCGTCGTTTGAGAAGATTACAAATCTACTAGCAGATGTTGTATGGGCTCCAACCTATGGATGAAAGGTTTGCCTCAAGCATAAAATCATACCCTCGCCGTCACCGAGAACATTTTTAACCATCGTTGTTGCTTGAACTCCACCACTACCGTCGTTGCACCAAAAACTCAAAAACTCACAACAACAAATAAATCATTAGGGATAAACTAAAAATCTATATATGAAACGAAAAGAATATCACAAAACCCCTATTACTAACATAAAAAGAATAGATCTATACTCTAGTAGTGCAGATTTACATTTTAAAAGTGTGAAGGAGGTCGTTGGACCATCACCGGACCAACATTGAAGCTCGGTCGAAAATCACTAAGAGAGAAAAGCTCTCGCCTCTCTTGCCTAACAAAAAAATATTTAATGCGTAGAGATTACGAGAATATTTTTTAATCTATAATTTTATTTCCCAATAGTTCCTAAAGTATGCGTCGTTGGTATGAGAACTTTTTATGGACATTTTTGACCTTCAT